GCCGCCGTACCAGTATAGCACTTGGTCTGGCGACTCTGCGAGCACCTCTCAGACGGCTGTAACAGGTGACACCTATTGTCTGCATTTTCGGATGTGATCTAGGGTTGTGGAAGACGATCAATACAGAGAGGAGGCACGTTGTCCAATACATTCCAGATGTGTAACATATGCTTTAATCATGTTTAAACATGCAAGAGACATGTTTGAACCTTGTTCTTTACAGTTCTCAAGCATTACACACACAGTTTTAAGCCAATGATAGAGCTGTTAGAGTGTCGATTGTCATGGCACCCACAAATCTACAAATCTAGGGTACATTTCTTGGCCACATTGGGCTGTCCTGGTCTCCTGTGGGGCCGTCTTGGGTCCTCTTAACACCCACTTGGGCCGTATCGATGCCGTCTTGTGCCATTTTGCGTCCTCTCGACCGTCTTGGGGGCATCCTGGTGCCGTCTTTGAGGCCCTTGTGGGCCATCTTGGGGCCCTCTTGGCTGTCCTGGGGCGTCTTGGGGCACGCTTCTGGCTGTCCTAGGTCGACCAGGAGTTTTGGGAGCCGTCATTGGGTTTGGTTTCTCTTTGGCTCCTCCGATGCCCGGAACCATCTTAGACCGAAGAAACCGTAAAATTTAACATGATCAAACACCAAGCAGTTGTTCCAGTTTTTGACTGATGTTGGCTTTCTTGGAGGGCCTCTTCGCTCCAGGCTTCTCCCTCGTGTATTGGAAGCTTCCTGGGGACCCTCTGAGGCCTCTTGGGAGCATTTCGGGAGCTTCTTAGGGGCTGCGGGGTGTTGATCGGATACCTGGATTTTGGCGTCCGTGGTGGGTTGGTCGCTTTGGAAGTCCAGGGTAGCCTCGGAGAGCTCCATCGAGGCGTTTGGCCGCCCACAGAGCCTCTGGAGGGGGGGGGGGGGCGATACACGCACTCAGGTGTGGGTAGCAGGGGTGGGGTCTGTTAGATGACTTGCAGAAATCCTACCAGGCTGCACATGGCATGCTAGCACGCCTCGACGTTCTAGTGGGCACGGTGGTGGATACACCTATCATTGGGTCAGGATTAATGTGTGGCGTTTCGTTGCTCTACTGATTCAAGCAAGTTCGAGCCACCAGCCTGCTCTGATCTGCTGAGCCTTCTTTCGAAAGCCGCAGCGAGAAACTATTCGACGGGGAAGCCACTCCCCGCGAACGGGTACCGCTCCGCCCTTTGTCTCACCCTCTGTGACCCCCTTGCAGTCTCCTGATGCACGTTACGATAGCCGTGCCAGGCCAATCTGCTTGCATTCGGCAGGTCGCACGTGTGGTTGGCGCCACTTTTGGCCCGCTCGTGTGACCCCTTGCAGTCTGGTGCTGCACGTTGCTGTAGCCGTGCCAGGCCAAGCTGCCTGCATTCGGCAGGTCGCACACACGTGGCTGGCGCCACTTCTGGCCCGCCGCACACTGGAAGAGGCACGGCCGGTGCCTCGCTTTCTGGCCGGCGTGTGTTTCGCGTGCCCGCTGATGGTCAGCCTTTGCTCGTCCAGAGATGCCATAAAGGACTGCTGCAGCCTTCAGAAAAAGACAGCGCTTTCCCCTGGGAGGCCAGCTGGACCTCCAGAGCGATGCCAGGAAGACTCCCAGCAGTCCAACTCATCACACAGCAGCCGTTTTCACCGCATTCGCGTTCAGGCCTCAGACCCGTCGGCTCTGGATGGCTCGGGGGGGCGACCTCTCGGTGGCGCGCGCACGTCCAGTTGTTGGCGGCAGGCCCGGCCACCGCGCCAGCCCGGCATCCTGGGCGGCGACTGTTCAAGGGGACGCACTGGAGGACGAGCGACGGACGACGACGACGACGACGACGACGACGACGACGACGACGACGACGACGACGACGACGACGACGACGACGACGACGACACTTCGTGTCCCGAGGCCCAGGAGAGCCGTACCATGTGACGCACTCTTCCGCATCGTGTCGGGGTTTCTCGTCTGGTCGTCGTTCGTCGTCCTCCCTTTCGTCCTCGTGTGGGCTCCCGCGGGGCAGTCCAGGGGGGTCCCCTGGGCCACTCTGGACAGTCCTGGGGTCCGCTTGGGCCGTCTTGGGGCTGTTTTGGGCCGTCTTGTGGCCCTCTGGGCCGTCTGCTCGTGGGCCGTCTTGAGGCCGCCTTGGAGGATTATAGCCCCTGGGCCGTCTAAGGGCCGTCTTGGAGGACTCCAGGCCTTTCTAGGGGTCCTTCTGTAGCCCTCTCGGTTCGTCTTGGGGCCCTCTCACGCAGTCTTGAAACCATATTGGGCCGTCTTGGAGGCCTTAGGCCAGCTTGGCAGCCTTGGTTGTCTGCCTCGGCCGCCTTGGGAGCTCGGGAGCGCGGATTCATTGTTCACAATCATCCTGTGGTGCTGGGTCCTCGCTTCGAAGAGACAGCGCCCGGCGTTCTCACTCCTCCTCCCGCTCCTCCCTCCTCCCTCCTCCCTCCTCCGCAGTTCGCATGCGGTTCCCCCACCCAGTACAGCGTTTCGTGGCCCCATAGGGGGCTTCACCGAAGGTTACAGTGGCGCAGTCCGTATGCGGCTCCCCCGCCCAGTACAGCGCGTCGTGGCCCCATAGGGGGTGCAGTCCGCATGCGGTCCCCCCACTCAGTACAGCGTTTCGTGGCCCCATAGGGAGCTCCACCGAAAGTCCCAGGGGGGTGTACCACATGCGGTCCCCCCCGCCCAATACAGAGTTTCGGGGCACCATAGGAAGCTCCACCGAAGGTCCCAGTGGCGCAGTCCGCATGCGGTTCCCCCGCCCAGTACAGCGTGTCGTGGCCCCAGAGGGAGCTCCACCGAAGGTCCCAGTGGCGCAGTGTGCATGCGGTTTCCCAACCCAGTACAGCGCTTCGTGACCCCAGAGTGAGCTCCACCGAAGGTCCCAATGGCGCAGTCCGCCTGCGGTTCCCCCACCCAGTATGGCGCTTCGTGGTCCCATAAGGGGGCTTCACCGAGGGCGCAGTCCGCCTGCGGTTCCCCCACCCAGTGCAGCGTGTCGTGGTCCCATAAGGGGGCTTCGCCGAGGGCGCAGTCAGCCTGCGGTTCCCCCACCCAGTGCAGCGTGTCGTGGTCCCATAAGCGGGCTTCACCGAGGGCGCAGTCCGCCTGCGGTTCCCCCACCCAGTGCAGCGTGTCGTGGCCCAGGTGGCGCAGTCCGCATGCGGTTCTCCCGCCCAGTACAGCGTGCCGTGGCCCCAGAGGGAGCTCCACCGAAGGTCCCAGGGGCGCAGTCCGCCTGCGGTTCCCCCACCCAGTACAGCGTGTCGTGGTCCAGGTGGCGCAGTCCGCATGTTGTTCCCCCCACTTAGTACAGCGTGTCGTGGCCCCAGAGGGAGCTCCACCGAAGGTCCCAGTGACGCAGTCCGCATGCGGTTCTCCCGCCCAGTACAGCGTGTCTTCGCCCCAGAGGGAGCTCCACCGAAGGTCCCAGGGGCGCAGTCCGCCTGCGGTTCCCCCACCCAGTACAGCGTGTCGGGGCCCCATAGGGAGCTCCACCGAAGGTCTCAGGGGCGCAGTCCGCCTGCGGTTCCCCCGCTCCGTACAGTGTGTCGTGACCCCACAGGGAGTTCCACCGAAGGTCCCAGTGGCGCACCGAGGCCCTGCCAGGGAACGCGGCGGGCCCTCCCGTGGCGGTGGCGGCCGCGGCGGTCGCCTCGCTCGCGGCGGCGCTGGCGGGGGCTTTGGCGTGGCGCGGCCAGCGCGCTGCGCCTGCAGTGGGGCGCAGCGCGTTGGTGGCGGATGTGCAGGGCGAGGACACGCCGATAGTAGAGGGCGACAGCGCCGCAGCGTCGCCCCCCTGAGGACGGGAGGAGCACGCCGCTCACGACCTCCTTCTGAGAGCCAACGCAAAGTAGGGTATGCACCCACTGCTCTCCAGTTCTGTTTGCACCCGAACTAGGGCATGCACCCAAAGTAGGGTATGCATCCACTGCTCTGAGGAATCTTTCTACACGCACACACGACCGAGAACTGCGCAGGGTGAAACACACCAGCAGGAAGTACAGTTGGGGCACATGCCAAGAAACACTCTGCTCACCTTCAGGGTGCCCTGGGTTTCTTGGGTTTCGATGGTTTTGTTATGGAAAGCGTGACGTTCCCACACCAAACATCAACGGACGTCCTGGGGTCTCAGGCTTGGGCTTCTTCTGGACCGTTTCTTGTGGACGGGCCTCCACAGTCACTTGGGAGACTTGAAACCTTCAACTGGACCAGGGAGCAGCAAGCCCAGGCCACGCAGCCTGGTGCCCCCTCAAGAGGGGGCTGGCGGATTTGCGGCCTGCTTGTTCTGTGTGAGACCTCTCCATGCCGTGTCTACACAAATGTGGTTATTATGAGCAGTTCTGCATGTGTGAAGTTGGGGATTGGGACGAGGTGATGATGGTCGTCACGGTTATGGTGACGGTGATGGCTATGATGATGACGCTGTTGATGTTGCTGATGATGATGGTGATATTGACGATGCTGATGCTGCTGCAGATGATGATGATCATGATACTGATGCGGACGATGATGATGTTGATGATGCTGATGATTATGATGTTGATGATGTTGATGCTGATGATGTTGATGATGCTGATGATGATGCTGATGATGATGATGATGCTGATGCTGATGCTGATGCTGCTGCTGATGCTGATGCTGATGTTGCTGCTGATGATGATGCTGATGATGCTGCTGATGTTGATGATGCAGGTTTGGGAGAGAGTCGATCTTCTGCTTCTGCGCCTGATGGAGTGGAGGCCTTTGGATGTCTTCAGAATTCGCTGGGGCCTCCCTGAGGTGTCTCATGACCTCCGAAGGTCTCCGTGGCCCCCTTGAGGCTCCCGGATGTTTCTGGATGCCTCTGGAGACCCCTGGACCTCTGGAGAAGGAGGAGGCTTAGCACGGGGAGGATGAAGCGGACTTTGCTTCTCATCCCTTGCCCTCGTCGTGCTTGCTGCTCCGTCGGAGGTCTGGCTTGGGCGGAGTTTCCACCAGGGGCGCGGCGTCGCTCAGGTCATGGGACGCCATCACGGTGCACAATCACTCCCTGAAGCTGATCAAGGCCACGTTTGCTGCTGCTCCTCCTCCCCCTCCTCCCCCTCCTCTGCGTCCGCTTACCAGCCCTACCCATGCGGGTCCAATTGACGGTGGGGCATCGGACACACCAGGATACTTCTATTGAGCCGGAGTGCCTGGCCCCCGGCCCGCCCTGGCGCACGGTTTCGTATCGGATTGCGATTTGTAGTTCCGCCCATTTTAGGCTCCCAGAGGCGCCCAGTACGGCCCAAGAGGGCGCCCAGACGGCCCCAGCTGGCTTCAGGATGCCCAAGAAGAGCCCCGAGCTGGCCCAATATCGCCCCTGGCCCAAAACGATGTCGAGAGGGGCCAAGTAGCCCGCAAGACGCCCCAAGGGGGTTCCAAGCAGGGCCTCGAGATCCAAAATGATTTGATTCTCCTTGGGAGTTCCATTCATGTTTGGAGTCTTGCTGCTTCGGACTTCAGACCGCCCAAGACGGCCCAAGAGCCCTCAAGGTCGCACCAAGGCGGCCGAAGAAGCCAAGCCGGCCCCAGAAGCTTCCAAGATGGCCCAAGAGGCGCCCAAGAGGGCCTCACGAGAGACCTCAGAGGAGCAATTCGCATTGCCATTCGGAACCTCCTCCCCCAAGATGGCCTCCAGTATTCCCAACTATAGACCCTCAGACGCCCCCCAACGCCCGCACGGGGCTCCCAAAGACTTTCAAGAGACTCCCAGGAGGCTCCCAGGAGACCCGAAGATGCTTCCGCGAGGCCTCCGTAGCCATTTCGGCTCAAGACATGTTGGCTCAAGATTTCCATCGGTTGCGGAGGCAGCTGCTCCTCATGCGATAACTGTCGCACCACCGTTAATCCGGCACGATGGACCTTGCGTATTAGCAGATGATTGGCCTGCGGAGTTCGTCTCTTTCTGAAATGACCATTTGCGCCGTTCAAATTCGCCAGGCTTCGACGGCCAATCGCCGCAGCATTGTCTGGCGCCAGCGCCGAGCTGCACTGACGCCACACCGGTCTGTTCACAGGGCAGCGACGGCGGGCCACGCCGCGTGATAGATGATCCGTCTCGCGTTCTACGGAGTTGTTAGAGCATCTTAAGAGGACCTGCAGCGTGAGCTCCACAATTAGCTTCTATCAACCAACCTGTCAGACTTCAGCAAGCTGCAGACTGTCGTTTTTGGTTATGGGGGCAGGGACACTACATGCTCGTTACTGCTGCTGGACGGACAAAGTCAGGATTTCTGTGTACACCTGGTCATGGTCGAATGACGAGTGGGAGCCTGTCATGGTGGCATACGTGCGCGCACTTTGCAAGACTGGAGCAATTCTCGATGGAGTGTTTGAACTCAATGTTATGAAGGGTGGCGAAGATCCACAAGTTTTAGTGTCAAGAATCAGATCGCATCTCTCAGGGAAGCACCTCGTCGGTCAATGTGAGCAGGGGGTGAACACATTTGTAGAACCTGTGCCAGGTGAATGGCTGCAAGACAATTGCGAGGACTGGATTGTGCACTCCACTTGCATGGAACATGCGGACGAGCACAATATTCCAAGTTGGCTGATCCAGACCAATTCTGACCTCGACTTGTGCAGAGGCGTTGACGAGCAAACTGTGTGCACTACAGTTTGTGGTGGTTCGCTCCAGACAGACGCTTTCGGCCGTCGTGTCGAATTTTTCAAGCCGTTGCCTCTTGAGCGTCGAACACCACAGACTTTGATTAAGCTGGCGTGTGCCATCGCAGATGCACGCGACAAAAGGGATGCATTCAAACAGTTTCTCGGCCTGGACCCTGCAAACTACATGAATCTGCCAAACTTCGATGTAGGGTACACGGCGTTCTCAGCTTCGCAAGCAAGCGTCGAAGTCTTTGTGACTGCTCTCAATGGGTACTCTGACACGCTACCCTGGCGTATTTTAGCAGACTCCCGTTGTCCTGCTCTAGCTCCGCAGTGCTTGACAGCTCGTTTTCTTCAGCCAGGCGAAGTTGGTGGTGGTCAAGTACGAATGCTGCAGGAGTTCCTTGCGGCTCGGATGGATACAGCACCCTCGTATGGTGAATTTTTAGCCAGGTGGACATCAGCACGCCGTGGTAATCGCGTGCGTCGTAATCTAATTCCTGCTCATTGTCACCATGCCGCGTCGTGGTGGGGACACGTTGGAACTGCCAAAGAAGTTGCCAACGGTGTTCGCGGCACATGCCCTGAGTTCAACCTTTGGCGAGGTGCGGGCGACTCTTCTGTGTTGTTAGATGCGCTTGTGCTGATTGGTGAAGGAATGAATTTCGAGAGAAGTTTGGCGGGCTCTTCCCAGCCAGATTTTACAGAGTTGTCTCCTCTCCGCATCTGGGTGGCAGCAAATATAATCCGCATTCTTGATTTCACCTGCAGAATGCTCGAGTCGTCCCAAGAAGTTGAGGGTTTCTGGGGCCTTCTTGGAGCGCTCTTGGGCCGTCTTTTAGCGGTCTTGAGGGTCTCTCGGGCCGTCTTGGGATGATCTTGGGGGCCTCTTGGACCGCCTTGAAAGGTGTGAAAGACGCAGAGGCAGATATGTTAAACATGTACGTTTTCCCAAGGGAATGGGACGATTTTTGCTAGTGGGAGCCCTCTTGGGACGCCGCTTAGGGGCCTCTTGGGGCGTCTTGAAGGCCTGTTGGGCCGTCTTGAGGCCATCGTAGGCCTTTGGGAGTGATATTTCGGCGTCTCCCGGCTCTTTTGGACCGTCTGGAGGGCTGCTCGGGCCCCTCGTGGACCGATTTGGAGCCCTCCTGGGCTCCGAAACAGAGTTCTTGAGGGTTTCTTGGGCCTTTTTGGAACGCTCTTGGGCCGTCTTTGAGCGGTCTTGAGGGTCTCTCGGGCCGTCTTGTGGTGATCTTGGGGGCCTCTTGGGCCGCCTTGAAATTGTGTGAACGACGAAGAGGCAGATAATTATGTTAAACATGTACGTTTTCCCGGAGGAATGGGACGATTTTTGCTTGTGGGAGCCCTCTTGGTGCGCCGCTTAGGGACCTCTTGGGGCGTCTTGAAGGCCTGTTGGGCCGTCTTGAGGCCATCGTAGGCGCTTGGGAGTGATATTTCGGCGTCTCCCGGCTCTTTTGGACCGTCTGGAGGGCTGCTCGGGCCCCTCGTGGACCGATTTGGAGCCCTCCTGGGCTCCGAAGAAGAGTTCTTGAGGGTTTCTTGGGCCTTTTTGGAGCGCTCTTGGGCCGTCTTTGAGCGGTTTAGAGGGTCTCTCGGGCCGTCTTGGGGTGATCTTGGGGGCCTCTTGGACCGCCTTGAAAGGTGTGAAAGACGCAGAGGCAGATATGTTAAACATGTACGTTTTCCCAAGGGAATGGGACGATTTTTGCTAGTGGGAGCCCTCTTGGGACGCCGCTTAGGGGCCTCTTAGGGACCTCTTGGGGCGTCTTGAAGGCCTGTTGGGCCGTCTTGAGGCCATCGTAGGCGCTTGGGAGTGATATTTCGGCGTCTCCCGGCTCTCTTGGACCGTCTGGAGGGCTTCTCGGGCCCCTCTTGGATCGATTTGGAGCCCTCCTGGGCTCCGAAACAGAGTTCTTGAGGGTTTCTTGGGCCTTCTTGGAGCGCTCTTGGGCCGTCTTTGAGCGGTCTTGAGGGTCTCTCGGGCCGTCTTGGGTGATCTTGGGGGCCTCTTGGGCCGCCTTGAAAGGTGTGAAAGACGAAGAGGCGGATATGTTAAACATGTACGTTTTCCCGGGGAATGGGACGATTTTTGCTTGTGGGAGCCCTCTTGGGGCGCCGCTTAGGGACCTCTTGGGGCGTCTTGAAGGCCTGTTGGGCCGTCTTGAGGCCATCGCAGGCGCTTGGGAGTGATATTTCGGCGTCTCCCGGCTCTCTTGGACCGTCTGGAGGGCTTCTCGGGCCTCTCTTGGACCGTTTGAACCCTCCTGGGCTCCGAAAAGGGACCTTGCCGGGAGTCTGCCGGGAGTCTGCCGGGACCTTGCCGGGAGTCTGCCGGGACTTTGCCGGGACCTTGCCGGGGTATTTTTCGTCCGGGGACCCCCAGGGCCCGCCCCGCGCGCGCGAACTAGAAATATTGTTTAGCAGTTACCGGAGATCTTAGCACGCCTCTGGCCCGTTGGTCCGGCGATCATATGTATGTATGTATATATATATATATATAGGCCTCAGCACCCACCATAACCCCCCCTTTTCTCTTGGAAGATGCCAAGAAAAAAGGGGGGCGGGTGCGGTTGGAGTTTCGGGTGTCGCGTCGTGTTGTGGTGGTTGGATCTGGAGTACTTGTGTGTGTGTTGGAGACGGAGGGAGCCTGTGGAGTATCGGGTGTTGTGTTGGAGAAGGAGGCTGTTGAGTACTGGGTGTTGTGTTGGAGACGCAGGGAGTTGAGTAGAAGGTTATCTTCAAGTTCAGCTTGGGGAGGGAGCCTGTTGAGTATCGGGTGTTGTGTTGGAGAAGGAGGCTGTTGAGTACTGGGTGGTGTGGAGACGGAGGGAGTTGAGTAGAAGGTTATTTTCAAGTTCAGCTTGGGGAGGGAGCCTGTTGAGTATCGGGTGTTGTGTTGGAGAAGGAGGCTGTTGAGTACTGGGTGTTGTGTTGGAGACGGAGGGAGTTGAGTAGAAGGTTATTTTCAAGTTCAGCTTGGGGAGGGAGCCTGTTGAGTATCGGGTGTTGTGTTGGAGAAGGAGGCTGTTGAGTACTGGGTGTTGTGTTGGAGACGGAGGGAGTTGAGTAGAAGGTTATTTTCAAGTTCAGCTTGGGGAGGGAGCCTGTTGAGTATCGGGTGTTGTGTTGGAGAAGGAGGCTGTTGAGTACTGGGTGTTGTGTTGGAGACGCAGGGAGTTGAGTAGAAGGTTATTTTCAAGTACAGCTTGGGGAGGGAGCCTGTTGAGTATCGGGTGTTGTGTTGGAGAAGGAGGCTGTTGAGTACTGGGTGGTGTGGTGGAGACGGAGGGAGTTGAGTAGAATATTATTTTCAAGTTCAGCTTGGGGAGGGAGCCTGTTGAGTATCGGGTGTTGTGTTGGAGAAGGAGGCTGTTGAGTACTGGGTGTTGTGTTG